CCACCATTTCTGAAGAAGGGTCTCGACCCGAAACGTCAGCTTTCCTGCTCCTCTGATGCTGCTTGGCCTGCTGTGTTCATCCAGCTCTACACCGTGTTATCTCAGCGTTTTTAATAGTAATTTTCAATCAACTTGTTCGCACATGTTGTGACGCTTCTGAAACAGGTGGCACTTGCACCTGGGCCTTCTGGCTCTGCACCACAAGAACTACCAGCATTAGTTATATTTATGAATGTTTGCAATATTGCTGTAATACCTTCTCAGTTTCACAATCTTTGTTTTGTGAAATAGTTTCCACATTTTCTTGGGAAAATTGCATTTGCTTTAACAGGTAATGATTATTGTGTTGGGACAAAACAGTTTGAGAATTTCAACAGACCGATCTTAAACTTGTTAACCTCTGTGCTTGAAATTTGATGTTTTACTAAATACTGTAAAAATAATTGCATTATATCTTGGAATATGTTCATTGAAATATGTGCCATTTCCCAATTAACCTGCTGTCGACACTATCGACACATTACTGTGTGCAAGAAGTCTATGCTCACTTGATTTTTGAAAGGGAAAGAAAATACTAACGGAGGGGAAATTTATATTTTATTTCAATGAGCTAGTTACATTACCTGTTTATGTACACTTAACTTCACGGTAATGGGCGCATGTTTAATTAATGTGAGAAGCAGGATATGCCCAACATTCTGTGAGCGCTGCCAGGAGGCCAACTTGGGCTGCTTTGACTTCATACCTGTTGTGATCTGACTGCCAGATGGAATTTAAAGGATTCAGATACTTCACTGTCACCTTGTTTTACTATTAAGGTGGTGGCAAGTTCGCTCATGCTTGTTTAAGGCAACATTCAGCCAACATTCAGATGACTGAGAGAAAAGCTCTGTACTGCCTGTGTGAAAGCTAAGAGAGAATTGATGTTGTAATTTTTTTGTTGTTTCATGGCATGTACAAAGCTGGTAAAACCAGTATTTATTGTCCATATCTCTGTAGAGCAGTGACTTGCTTGGCCAACTCAGACAGTTAAGAATCAACCACATTACTGGGTATCTGGATGTTCTAGTCATGTTTAATTATAGTAGAATTTTATTCTAAATGTATTCAATAATCTAAATTAAAATTCCCTAGTTACTGTGGTTGAGTTTGACCTTGTCTCTCTGGATAATCAACCTAGGCCTCTAGATTATTAATGTGATCATTCTCCTCTCCTAACCAATCTGGCAGTCTGACCAAACAAAAACAGAAAGTGCTGGAGAAACTCAGCAGGAATGGCAGCATCTGTGGGCAGAGAAACAAAGCTAACATTTCAAGACTAAAGACTTTTCAGTTCTGAAGAAGAGTCATATCCGACCTGCTGAGTTTTCCTAGCAGTTGGTGGTTTTTATTACGGATTTCCAGTATCGACAGTATTATGCTTTTATATTGCAGTCTGTGCATCATGGCAGATGTGAGTTTCATTTGGAAGTGGTACAAATATCTTAAGTTTAAAATAATGCTGCTTAAAATGTTTTCTCCCTAACAATTCATGCTCATGAGAATCATTTCCAAATAAATAAATGCACTGCTTATTTCAACATGGATGTTTGTTTAAAATATCAGAAAAATGGAAATTTGTTCTTTCTTTTAAAAAGATGTGGACGATGAGTATGAAGATGAAGATCAGTGGGAGGATGGAGCAGAAGATATCCTTGATAAAGGTTTGTTTAGAGTTAACACTTTATTCATGACACTCTAAAATATACATAATGCAAATGTGGCGTTTGCTATTCCTGGGCTGTTGTGTCTTGGACCAATGTAAATTATTTTATAAATGGAATGTATGTAATAATTAGCCTTTGTATTCAGCTTTCATCTGTATGACTTCTTGACTTGTAGTAACTGGAAAATGTAACAATTGGGGTGGTATGGTGGCTCAGTGGTTAGCTCTGGTGCCTCACAGCACCAGGGACCCAGGTTCAATTCCAGCCTCGGGTGACTGCGTGGAGTTTGCACATTCTGCCTGGGTTTCCTCCGGGTGCTCTGGTTTCCTCCCACAGTCCAAAAATGTGCAGGTTAGGTGGATTGGCCATGCTAAATTGCCCGTAGTGTTCAGCGATGTGTAGATTAGGTGGGTTATAGAGGTATGGGCCTGGGTGGATTGCTCCAAGGGTCAGTGTGGGCTTATTGGGCCGAAGGGCCTGTTTCCACACTGTAGGGATTCTGTTCTATGATTCTATGGTTATAATGTCTCCACTTCTGTTCAAAAATTAACGGGCTCACAAGTTAGAAACTAGTTAAACTAAGATTATTACTGGTATTCATGTCAGTAACTTACACTGGCACATGTTACAAATATACACCCAGAAGCATTTGTCAGAGCCTAGTTAATCACCTTGTTCACAGCTATATGTTGGTATGGGCCAGGCTCAGCAGCCATGGTTTCAGATGTTAATCAGTTGCTTTCCCCAAGTCTTTTTTTATGGACAAAACATTTTTTAAAAAGGGTATTTTCCTATACTTGTGTCTCAGTTCCTAAACCATACTGTCATTCTCTCCTTCTTGTTCTCTACTCTTTGCCTTCTCTCTCTCATACATCAATTTTTTCTTTCTTTTTCTTTAAGTCTCTACGTCATGTCTGCGCCCTTTAATAACTTGCTTTCTCTAACACTTGTACATTACCTCGAACTACTTTATTCCTAGAGTTACGAAAAATGCGACTGCGAGGGAAACTACATCTGGCATTAGGAGTGAATAGGTGGGCTAGACTGAGCTAGGTCTAGGTCTAGCTAGCTCGACTGCCTTTCTGACATCATCATGTTCAATTTAAAACATGGCATGGTTCTGTACCAATATGTCTAGGAGCTACTACAAGCCCTACAGGCAAGAAGAAACAAGAATCCTAAACAAAACTGGGAAGTCTCAGAAACTTAATTTAGGATCTTTATTTTGGATTAACCATTTAAGTTAGGTCCTCTCTACTTGTTCAGGTGCATGTAAAAGTGCAGTGATATTTGGATTATATTGTAAAAGAATGTGATAAATGATGAAAGGGATCTATCTCCTATGCCTATCTTTATAAAAAGCTATCTATAAATCCAGCTTTCTATGTATGTGCACCACAGTAGTCAGTTTGAGGTCAGCAAGCAGATTGTCTAGTTGTAAGGATCATGAGTCAGTAATTCAGCAATAATAATGTGTTAAAGGACTTAATTACATTGGCTTCATCTGTGATGTTTCATGTTATTACATGTTGTAAAATTGTTGGTTTAATGTTTATGCTTAGCTTTAATGAATATATAAGGGACAGCTGAGCTTATGGACACAAATCACTTTTTTGCTTCTGGTATCTGTTAACTCATTAATCTAATGTATCTGTACTTATCTCTACATCTGTTGCTTGTGTAACAATTTATTACATCTTTGTATCTAAGACTTGACCTGAAATTGTCCCAACAGTCATCCATTAGAGAAAATAATTGTTCTTTGTTTTTAAAAACAGGGATTTGAAAAAACAATCTCCGCTTAGCAAACTTATTCTAAGTGCCAAATTAGGTTACTGATAAAGTTTCCCCAGTATGGCCTGTTCTATGCATTGTCTGTACCATGTGTACTATACTACGATGTACCATGTTTCTCTGCAATGAATTCGATTCAGCTGAATATTTAAACCTAAATATAAATAGAAGGATCAATTGGCATGTTTCTCAATTTATATGCAAATGCAGAAGATGCAAAATTTGCCTCCTCTCTTCTCATCAGTTGCATTGTTTTCTTTGCAGTTTCAGTTTAGTATGCTATGCTCTCTGCTCATGATTCAGCCTCCCCTGTGCTCGTCAGACTAACCAGACTTGTCGAGCACCTGGCGGGACACCTCCACTTAAGTATGACCCCAAGCTTTCTTTTGCCTGCCAGTTTCATTCTGTGCCCCACTCCAACTTTGATGTCTCTGTTCTTGGTTCCCTGCACTGTTAAATGAAAGTTCAGAGAGCAGCACCTTATCTTTCAACTGGGCCATTTACAGCCTTCTAAACTTCACCTTAAGTTCAGCAATTTCAAATAACCTTTGTCTCTTACTTTTTGAACAGACAGGTGCTGGAGATTTTTCATTTACGTCTAATTTCGTCCCATGTTTCTTGTCCTATTATCACTTTGCAGCATCATCCCTTTTGTTATTTCCTCTCTCCTGTCTTGCATCTTATCACAGACCTCTCTTTTTCAGAGATAGTAGGAAGTGCTGAAGCTGGAGTCTGAGATAACAAGGTATAGAGCTGGATGAACACAGCAGGCCAGGCAGCATCAGTGGAGCAGGAAAGCTGACGTTTCGGGTCTGGACCCATCTTCAGAAATGGGGAAGGGTAAGGGCACTCTGAAATAAATAGAGAGGGGGAGACGATGATGGAAGGTGGATAGAGGAGCAAATAGGTGGGGAGAAGACGGACAGGTCTAGGAGGTGGGGATGGAGCCAGTAAAGGTGAGTGTAGGTAGGGAGTTGTGATGGGATGGGGGTTGGTCAGTTGGGATGGAGGGGCGGGTAGGTGTGAGGGAAGATGGACAGGTCAAGGAGGCGGGGATGAGGCTAGTAGGTAGGAAGTGGGGGTGGGGGTTGGTCAGTGAGGTGGGAGGAGCGGATAAGTGGGAGAAAAGATGGACAGGTCAAGGAGGCGGGGACGAGCTGGGCTGGTCTTGGGATGAGGTCGGGGGTGGGGAGATTTTGAAGCTTGTGAAGTCCACATTGAGACCATTGGGCTGCAGGGTTCCCAAGCGGAATAGAAGATGCTGTTCCTCCAGCCTTCGGGTGGCATTGTTGTGGCACTGGAGGAGACCTAAGATGGACATGTTGTCCGAGGAGTGGGAGGGGGAGTTGAAGTGGTTTGCGACTGGGAGATGTAGTGAAACGACTACATTCCAGACACTCGCCACTTTTTGTTTGAAAAACTTGCCTTGCCCATTTCTTTAAACATTACCTCCCCCCCCACCCCAACTCTTGCACCTTGAACCTGTGTCCCTTAATAATTGACCATTCCACCCTGGGAAAAAGCCTCATGCTTTCTACTCTAGCCATGCCATTCACAATCTTTTAAACTTCTATCAGGTTGCCCCTCAACCTCCTGCGTTGCAGTGAAAACAAACCCAGTCGATCCAACCTTTCTTCATAGCTCAAATCCCCATACCAGGCAACCTCCTGGTAAACCTTCTCTGTAATCTCTCTAAAGCATCCACATCCTTCTGGTATTGTGGTGACCAGAACTGTATGCAATATTCCAAGTGTGGCCTAACTAAAGTTTTATAAAGCTGCAGCATAACTTGCCTAACCTTATACTCAGTGCCCCTTCCAATAAAGGCAAGCATGCTATAGGCCTTTTTTGCTACCTTATCTACCTGCATATCCAGATCGCTCTGCATATCAATACTCCTAAGGGTTCTGCCATTCACTTTATAATTTCCACCTGTACCTGACCTTCCAAAATGCATCACCTGACATTTGTCCAGATTAAACGCCATCTGCCGTTTTTCTGCTCATGCCTCCAACTGATCTATATCTTGCTGTATCCTCTGACAGTCCTCCTCACTATCCACAACTCCTCCAATCATTGTATTGTTTGCAACCTTACTAATTAGACCAGCTACGTTTTCCTCCAAATCATTTATGTAGACCATGAACAGCAGAGGTCTCAGCAGTGACCCTGTGGAATACCAGTAGTCACAACCTTCCATTCCGAACAGCATCCTTCCACCGCTACCCTCTGTCCCCTATGACTAAGCAGTTCTGTATCCATTTGCCAGCTCAACCTTGACACCATGTGACTTTACCTTTTGTACCAGTCTGCCATGAGGGACCTTTAAAAGACTTTACTGAAGTCCGTTTAGATGACAACACCTGCTTTTCCCTCATCATTCATCTTTGTCACCTCCTCAAAAAACGGAATTAAGTTAGTGAGGCACGACCTCCCCTGCACAAAACCATGCTGTCTATCATTAATAAGTCCATTTGCTTCTAAATGCCTATAGATCTTGTCCCTGAGAATCTTTTCCAATAATTTCCCTACTACCAACATGAGGCTCACAGGCCTGTAATTTCCTGGATTATCTCGGATTACCCTTCTTAAACAATGGAACTGCAATGGCTATTTTCCAGTCCCTATGGGACTTCAGCTGTGGCCAAAGAGGATACAAAGATGTCTGTCGATGCAATTTGTTCTCTTGCCTCCCACAGTATTCTGGGATAGGACCCGGGGACTTATCTACCTTAATACTTACTAAGACGCTTAACACTTCTTCCTTTTTAATAGCAATTTGGTTTAGAAATTTGTCACTCCCTTCGCTGAGATCATCCTCCACCAGTTCCTTCTCTTTTTGTTTTTGATTTCCAGCATCTGCAGTTGTTTTTATTTTTTTAAAAAGTTTTATTCCATGTGCTAAAATACTTTAATGGTTTCACCTCTTCCTATCACCGCAACCTTCTCCACCCCTTTGAGAACTTTGTATCCTCCAATTTTGGCCTCTTATGAATCTACAATTTCCTTTGTCCAACTGTAGCAGGCCCGAAGTTCTGGAATTTCCTTCTGTCTACCTTTTAAGCTGCTACTTAAAACATAATTCAGCTATCCCTGGATTGCGATTGGGTTCTGTTTAACAGCCTGTTTGCAAGTCGATTTGTATCCAAGTTGGAACACAATGCATGACAAAATAAAGTAGCCATTTGTAAGTACAGGAAATGTTCATATGGTGGTTCTTTAAAATTCCACCCCTGTATGGGATTGCATTTGTAAGTAAAAGTGTTTGTATGTTTGTAAATTGGGTGCCTCCTGTACTTTATTTGAGTTTTTGGACACCCAATTAATGTTTCCTTCTTTGACTTGGTGTTGATTTTGTTCAGCGACAATGCTATCTCAGGGTGCATTATGATAGTAATGTTATTACAAAGTCAAATTGATGTCCTGTACTCCCTGTGTTAATTTGGTCAAGAAAGAATAGAATCAGAAGTCACACGACACCAGGTTATAGTCCAACGGGTTTATTTGAAATCACAAGCTTTCGCAGCGCTGCTCCTTTGTCAGGTGAAGTGACAAAAGCTTGTGATTTCTGACTTTATCCATCCCAGTCCAACACTGGTTACTCCACAAGAAGAATAGATCCTTAGGTGATTTTTGACGGTTAGTTTCTGGAACTTTTCGGACTAAACCCCAGCTTGATTGAGCACTGTGACAGCAGGAAGGGAAGAAGAATCTATAGTGGAGAAGTCCTGTCATATATTTGCCAGCGATCTCTGTGACCTTCAGTGTGGAAAATAATTTTCCTGTCACCTTGCTTGAAGTCTATTGAGTTCAACTTGACTTGTCAATCATCGAGGTACAAATACAGGTTTGTAAGAAAAGTCAAAAATTCGGAGAAACTAAAATGAGAGGAAAAGTTTAGGGTTTTTTTTTTTTGTTGCGTTTACTTCCTAAAATGAGTTTTTGTTGTACTTTTGTATGTTTATACTGGCTACTATTTCTTGTTTTTTGAAATTACTGCCGTTCCAATTTAAAATTTCCACGATAAAGGATACCTACAGCACATAACATTCACTCCCTCCACCGCTAATGCTCATTAGTAATAGTGTGTACCATTTGCAAGATGTACTGCCGAAATTCATCAAAGATCTTGAGATAGCACCTTCTAAATCTATGACCACTTCGATCAAGAAGAGCAAGGGTAGCAAAAACATACGAGCACCACTACCTCAAGTTCCTCTCCATGCCACTCATCATCCTGACTTGGAAATATATCACCTTTCCTTCAGTGTCGCTGGGTCAGAATCCTGGAATTCCATTTCTAATGACATTCTGGGTGTATCTAGAACATATGGACTGCAGCAGTTCAAGAAGGCAGCTCACCACCACCACCTTCTTAAGTGCAGCTCAGGACGAGTAATAAATACTGGTCCAACCAGCAATGCTCATGTCCCATGAATGAATAGTAAAAATGCTCAGAATATATTCATGAGCCTTTCAGATACCTTGAATTGATAATCATAGAATCCCTACAGTGTGGAAACAGGCCCTTCAGCCCAACACAGCATCCCACCCAGACCAATCCCTGAACACGAGGGGCAATTTAGCATAGCCAATCCACCTAACCTGCACACTTTTGGACTGTGGGAGGAAACCGGAGCACCTGGAGGAAACCCACGCAGACACGGGGAGAATGTGCAAACTCCACATAGACAGTTACCCAAGGGCAGAATCGAACCCGGGTTCCTGGTGCCGTGAGGCAGCAGTGCTAACCACTGTGCCGCCCCAAGATAATGCTCAAGATTATGTTTGGTATGTGTTTAAAGAAGGACAACATATTCAAGTAAGGCCCATTCAGGTAATAGTGTCTAGTCTTTAGTGAGTTGTGATCATCTCAAGGAATGCACTGAATACCCAATGCAAAATAATTTAATTGGACCTTCAAAAGTTGTCTTTCCTTTTTTTTTGAAGAAAAAGCTCAGGCATAGAGAAAGCTATGGCAATGAAATATATTGGATCCATAAAACAGTGCATGCATATGAAATCCTTTTGTTTGCTACTTTAATGCTGACACTTTTTTTTAAAATGTATAAAAGAAACCACTTCTTCATGTAACCACTGCATCATCGGTTTGTAAGGCCTGAAACAGCGAATGTTTTTTTGCTATTTACGCTAAAATTCCTCTACTTTCTCACTACATATTAAACTATGCAAACGTAAAATCTGTTTTAAAATCTAAATTAGACTTTTATTTAGTGTTTATTTCTTAATCTCAGATTTCAGTATTCTAACCTGTGTAAGTTAGCAATTTGGAATTAAATTGGAGTAGACACATAACATGTAAAGCTGTGGAGAGATTACTGCTAATGGGTACATTTAATAGGTTATGTTAAAAAATCTTAGAAACAAAGTGCTCTTCCTCCTGCCTGCAAACCCTGCAACGTTATCCTGATAGCCCCTGTTACGTAAACCTGAACCATTGCAAATTGCCATGTCAATATGACCACTTCATATTTGCAAAGACAACAGGTTTTTTGATGATCATTTGGTCCTGGAATACAATTTTTGAAGACTCTAGCAGTTGTGTGCATATTTTTAAAAGTTTATGTTCATCAATTAACTGGTCATGACGGGGAAATTTATCGATTAACTTATCAGCAAGACCTAGATTTTTCACTTTCTTTCTGCTACCACGGACTGTGCGTTAACAGGTATACATGAAGTATCAACTCTCCTCACTGTATGTAATGCATCAGCCATTGATGCATGTGGAGTAAGATTCCAATCACCCATGCTTGATGAAATGAGTAGGGCTTTTGTTTAAAAAACTAGTATGGCTGTACCAAGTATAACAGTAACTTAGCATTTCAGTTTGAGTGCTCTCTCTTTGAAAACATGTCCATTTTGCCCTTATGTATGTTTCATTTCTGTTTTTTAATGTACATCATACATTCATGCTTATGTGCCATGTTTTAATTTTGTCCTTACATTTTTGTTCCCCGTTCACCATATGATTGATTTTGGTGATATTGTTTGGCTGTTTACTCTGTTGCCTTCTGAACAGAAGAAATTGAAGGTACGTGCACAATTCTGCATATTGTTTGTCATTAATGCAAATTAGTCTATTGATCAAAATTATTTGAGGCTTTGAAATTGCACCATGTGAACATTAACTACATTCCTTTGTTTTCCATTGTAATGAATCAATTTGGGTAAGCATTTCTATTGATGCGGAGTTTCATAATAGTATGTTGAATATTTATTTGGGCCAACATCAGTTGCATGTTGAAGTAACATGCAAACTTGTGATGTTCCATCACTAATCCTAACATTGTGGAATTTCAAGGTCAAGTGTGCATACTTATTCTTCCTTGCTGTTGATTTTATTTGGGCTGTTATTTAAATTTATGTAATGTACCACATTGATCCATCTAATTATTCTTTGCTTTCTTGCAAACACATTAGCGATCTCGTAATTTTTTATGCTTCGTGGTTGTTAAAGGAATGCTCCAAGTTCCACTACTGCTTGATGAAATGCAACAATACCACTTTGTTGTTACATAGCACCTTAAAGTAATAAAGTGTCCCACTTTATAGGGGACTTGTAACTCAGAATTTGATACCGAACCACAGACTGATATCAGGGGAGAAGCCAAATGCTTTGTCAAGGATGGGTGGAAGGAGATAGGAGGTTTGCAGAGGGAATTCCAGAGCTTTAGGGCATCGGCAGCTGAATGCATGACCACCCATGGCAGAAGGATGGGAATGGGGAATGCTCAAAATGCCAGAATCAAAGGAGTATGGACCTCTGTGATAGCTGTGGGGTTGGAGGAGATTACTGATAGAGAGGTGTCATGAAGACATTTGAAAGCAAGAATGAGAGTTTTAATACTAATTTGTTGTTTGAGACAAAGTTGATCAGCGAGCGCAAGGATGGTAGGTGAATAGCTTGGTGCAACTATAAGGGAGAGGCATGTGAAGCTATTATTGTTGGACTGTTAATCCAGGTAATGTTCTGGGGACCTGTGTTCAAAACCCGCCATGGTAGATGGTGGAATTTGAATGCAGGTAAAAATCTGGAATTAAAAGTTTTTCTGACAATGGTCACTGTCAGACCTATCTGGTTCGCTAATGTTCTTTAGTAAAGGAAGCTGCTGTCCTGACCTGTCTGGCCTACGTGTGACTCCAGACTCTCAGCAATGGAGTTGACTCTTAACTGCTCTCTGAAATGGTCTAGCAAGCTATTCAGTTGTAACAATCGCTAGAAAATCTCAAAAAAGAAATGAAACTAGACGGACCACCTGGCACTGACCTAGGCACTGGGAAGAACAATAAAAACAGCCCTATTGACCATGCAAAATCCTCCTTTGTAACATGGATGGGGTTAGGGGGCTACTATCAAAATTGGGAGAGCTGTCTCTCGGACTAGTTGAGCTTGACACAATTATACTTGCGGAATCTTACAATGTCTGAGACATACAATCGTATTCCTGGATGGGTCCTGTCGCCCCAGCAGAGTTGGCGGCACAGTGCTATACCATCAGGAGGAAGTTTCCCTTGGAGTTCTCAACCCTGAGTCCAGACACCACGGCACTAGGTCAAACATGGGCAAGGAAATCTCCCGCTGATTACCATGTATCATCCACCATTCCCCTTAGTTGATGAATCAGTACACCTCCATATTGAACACCACTTGGAGAAAGCACTGAACAATGTTGGGGCACAGAAAGTACTTTGACAAGACTTTAATGTACAACACCAAGAGTGATTCGATTGTTCTCAGCAGCTCTACTGATCGAGTCTAAAGAGCATAGCTGGTAGACTGGGTCTTTTGCAGCAGATGGTGATGGAAAAGTGTGCTTTATTCATCCTTACCAATCTGCCATCTGTGGATGCATCTGTCTGTGACCGTATTGATTACAGCGACCAGCACACAGTGAAGACAAAGTACTACCTTCACGTTGGTAATACCTTACATAGTGTTGTGTGACACTATCACCGTGCTAAATGGGACAGACTTTGAATGGATCAAGCATCTGAAGACTGGGCATCCATGAAGCTCTGTAGGCCATCAGCAGCAGCATAATTATTCTCCAACACAACCTGCAATCTCATGGCCCAGCATATCCCCAACTCCACAATTACCATCAAGCCAAGGGATCAACCTGGTTTAATGGAGAGTACAGGAGTGCATGCCAGGAGCTGCACCAGGCATACCAAAAGATGAGGTGTCAGCCTGCAGGAGCTACCAAACAGGATGACCTGTGTGCCAAATAACATAAAGAGCCAGTTATGGACAGAGCTAAGTGATTCCACAACCAGTGGGTCAGGATTAAGCTCCTTAATCCTGCCACATCCAGTCATGAATCGTGTTGGACAATTTAACAACTCGCTGGAGAAAGAGGCTTTGCAAATATCCCCATCCTCGATGATGAAGGAGCCCAGCAAATTCATGGTAAAGATAAGGCTTGAAGCACTTGGAACAATCTCCAGCCAGAAGAACTGAGTGAATGATGCATCTTGACTTTGTCCAGAGGTTCCCAGCATCACAGATGCCAGTCTTCAGCCGAATTGATTCACTATGTGAAATCAAGAAATGGCTGGAGGCATTGGATAGTGCAAAAGCAATGGGTTCTGTCCACCATCTACAAAGCACAAAACAAGAGTGTGATAGAATATTCTCCACATGCCTGGATGAGTGCATCTTCAAAAACAATCAAACAACACTATCCAGGACAAAGCAACCTGCTTGATTGCCATTACATCTACACCCTCCAAGATCAATGCTCAGTAGCAGCAGTGTGTACTAACTACAAGATACACTGTAAAAATTCATCAAAACTCTTTATACAAATCCTTTCAAACCCATGACCACTACCATTCGGAAGGATAAGGGCTGTAGATACTTAGGAACACCACCACCTGCAAGTACCCTTCCAAGTCACTCGCTGTCCTGATTTGGAAATATATCCTACAGTGCCATTGGTTCAACATCCTGGAATTCCCTCTCTCATGACATCATCAGTCGACTTGCAGCACATGGATTTCAGCGCCTCAAGAAAGCGGCTCACCACCACCTGCTCGGGCAACTACAGATTGGCCCAGCTAGCAACATCCACATCCCATGTGTGAATAAAACAAAGGTAGACAGCAGAGTTTTGGATAATCTCAACAGTCAATTGATGTTACTGAGGTGGAAATAGGCAGCCTGAATCATGGTATGGATGCATGCTTAATAGCTCAGTTTGAGATTAATATGACACCAAGGTTGTAAACAATTGTAGTTGAACCCCAGTTGCTGGGGGAGAGCTCGAGAACAGGGTTTGTACTAGGAACCAAAGACAGTAGAGGAGATTTAATTTTTTTATTTAATTAGAGGAAATTTTTGCTCATTTATTATATCAGGTAAACAGTCTGATAATTTAGAGATAGTGGAGAAGTTGAAAGAATGGTGGTAAGATAGAAGCTAGGTATGATCAACTTACATGAACAATAGCTCCATCTTTTCAGGTCATGATTCAGACTGAGTAAGATTAGGCACTTTCACAGCAAGCATCTGAATCTTTAGCCTCCTTTCATGTATCCACAGCTTTTTTTAAAATTGAACAGAATGCATTAGAAAGCCAACGTGGAATGATATCTTGCACTTGGTCTTCTTTGTAATCCAGTGTAGTTAGTTGATGTTTCATGCATGCAACATTCCATTCTTAATTCTCTTCACATCATTCACTCCATATGAAGGTGATGGACAGCATGCTCCAAACTGTCCTTTTGTTCTAGTTTGCTTTTGTCTGTTTGAGAGCAGGCGAGGGTTAACTGTCTTAGTTGTTTTGCTTTCTTCTTTCACTGAAACACTCAACATTCTTAAGTTGGCTGCACAATAGGAACCCCCAGTGTGGGGCTTTCAGTTGCTGCACTGCCCACATTCCTTTCACAGGACAGTACTATGTGCTGGTCCATTTGCAAATAGCTGAACAGAATGAGATTTTTGTTATGTCCACCTCCAATGTTAGAATCCAGTCTGTGCAAATATCTCTGATTTGGAAATCTAGTGTTTTTTATTAGTATGGTGACAGGAAAAACATTTTCAGATTCTTTTTCATCTTGTAATGCTTTGTTGTTTTAACTGAGAGCTGATTTCATTGGTTGGGCATAGCTGTCAAGCCCATAGTGATGGGTACAAATCGAACACGTTAATTGCTATAGCTGCAGGGTTCTTGATATTTAAATAAGATGGCAAGAAGGACAAGGTATTGCCTCCTCAGTTTGTTGCATTGAAACAATATGGGACAGTTGACTAACTGACAAATTCAAAAGGCCAAGTCTCCAGATAGATTACTTCCAAATGTTGTCCAAAGAATGGGGTTGCATATGTTAGAAAATAGTGTTCAAGTCACCAAGACTACCTATTACTTCGGAACAAACTACTGCAGATGCTGGAATCTGTACTGAAAACTACAAATGCTGGAGATCACAGCGGGTCAGACAGCATCTATGGAGTGAGAGCAAACTAACATTTTGAGTCTAGATGATTCTGATGAAGGGTCATTTAGACTCAAAGTTAGCTTGCGCTCTCTCTCTCCATGGATGCTTTCTGACCCGCTGTGATCTCCAGCATTTGTAGTTTTTAGTACCTCTTACTTCGTATGTAGTACTTGCTGTTGGTGAGACGTTATAACAGTTATTGTTTGTGGAATTAAATATCTACCAAAATGGGAATTGTGATTTAATCCATGCAACCACAGAGTGCAAGTGTGTCCTGCTTCCAGATAATATAGACAAAGAAATTTGAAGTTTTGGAACTTGTGGAAGAGATCATCAGTTAGTCAGTAACCATCAGCTTCTGCCAAAAGTTGTGGGACAAGAATAACAAAAAACTATAGTTGTCAATTAAGTTAAGTTCCTACTCTGTAGGTGCCATTTTAATTTAGTTTTTTTTATAAATTAGCAAGTTGCTTTTCTCTCGGGTCCCATTTAAAAACGAAAATTTAGGGACATGACTTCATTAGGTTTCCCAAATATAACTTAGCACTGACACTGTGCTTCCATCTTGTCGAAAAATGTTTTTGAATTGAGTAAGTGGTGAGACTTGTTCCTGGATATTGTTTTGAGTTTACACTTAGTCAATGGGGCATCATTGATTCAAATGCCTCCATCGACATTGAATTCTTGTGTCGATACAGGAGTTACAACTCAAAGGACAAAAGTTGAAAGTTCAGTCATGTAGTAATATCTAAGCATCAGTTGACAAGTAGGAGTTAATTTGTCTGCTGTTGCATTGTCTCTTCATCTTCTTTCTTGTACTCTGTAGCCTCCAACATTGACAACCTGGTGCTTGATGAAGACCACTCCGGAGCAAGACGATTGCTGAACCATTGGAGGTAAACCCCACCTTCCCCATTCTTAAACTTGAGGGATAACATCTCTGATTATCCCCCTCTCATTTGGCCAAGGAAGTGTATAACCTACTCCTAGACTTCCAACAAAATTGGCCTGAGAAAAATCCTCTTAGCTTTGCCTTAATGATATAGATGAGATGGGAATGATGTTCTTGAATATAATGGATTAAAAATTTTCATTGTGCAAATCCTTGTAGTGCACAAACTGACCGCATCACTGTGGGTCTGGAATCACTTACTGAACAGCAGATTTCCTCCTTGAAGGGGGATTGGAGAACCCAATGGACGTTTAAAACAACTTAGTAGTCTTATGGTCAGTTATTGGTGCTGGCATTTTTTTGTTGTTCCAGATTTGGTTTGCTCAAATCCTCCAGCTGCGGTGGAGAAATTGAACTCGTGTTTCTGGATCATTAGTCCAGACCTCCTAGTTTTCTGGCCCAATAACTTAACTGCTGCACTGCTGTGTCTCTGAATCTGTTAAATAATTGTATAATATACTTAAAGTTATGGCACCTGTTTTACTGCTGCAGCTAATAATTCAATGCATCTTGCAGAGACAAAAGAGAAGAGGAACTTGGCGAATATTATATGAATAAATATGCCAAGCCAACAGCAGGAGATCAGTAAGTATTCTGTTTCTTAGACATTTTTTAAAAAATTGTTAAATGTTATGATTCGAAACTTATTGCATTGATGAACTTTAGGGTCGATATAAAGGTATTTTTGCTACTGTGGTATTGATCTATCAAGAAAAGGGATTGATTTTATTGGTAATGGATCTATTTGGTTCATGAAGAATAGGAAGCGAGTATGAAGTCTGGAGGATTGGGAGAGATGTTTGGCTGTACCATTGTAGTAGTTCTGCATGGATTGTAGTAATATTGAGGCAAATAATTTTGTTTTTTTAAGCTTTGTTCAGTAATAAATAAGCTATCACTCATTTGGAGAGACACTGTTGAACTAACCAGGATGAGGCCAGAATGTCTAACACCCTCCCAAATAGAATTTTGTTTTAAGGTATTATTTTCTTCTTAATACTTTGTGGGTATTGCTGTAATTGCCCTTGAATGGGGTGGCTTGCCTAGGCTATTGCTGAGGGCAATTAAGAATCAATTTTGTTGCTGTGGATCTGGAGTCACATATAAGCCAGACCATGTTAGGACAACAGATTTCCTTCCCTAGAGAGCATTAGCATAAATCAATTTTCACAACAATCAATGTTTCTATGGTCACTGTTACTGATGACAAGCTTTACTGATGACTACTGAATTTAATTTAAATTTCACCAGATTTGGGCTTGTGTCCCCAGGGCATTAGCTTGATCCTCTGGATCACCCAGTGACATTACCATTGCACTACTGAATCCCCCAACACAGAGCTCTCAATATTATAAGTCTGACTGTATTTTATGTGGCTGCAGAGGTTTTGCACTGATTTCCTTTTCATATGAGACGAGCCAGTAGTAACCCTAGACCGGGGTTGAAACTGGCCAACTGACAGGAGTACAGAACTGTAATGCGTTTACTCATAATCTATGTTTTGTGTATTTAGAAATGAATACGTAACTATAAATCGTGAGCTGAGAATGTATTGTCTCAGCTTTTTTTTACTGGCCTTGCCTAGCTTGCTATGATCTAGTACCATGCGTCCTTCTGTGGGTGGGGCTCGCTTTGTCCAAGATGATGTTCTGAGATGTTTGGTTCCTACTAATGTCTTCCTCTTCTTTTAGTTTCTATGGCGCATCAGATGAACTCTCAGATGACATCACACAGCAGCAGTTACTGCCTGGTGTAAAGTAAGTGAGTCTTTTATTAATTGAACTTTACAACATTTGAAATGGATGTCATTATATTGACCAAAATTGACATATGTTCCCTGAACTAATTCTGTTTTGTTTCTCTACCTCCACTTGCACAGGGATCCTAATTTGTGGACTGTGAAATGTAAGGTATGATTATTCCCCCATGCACAAACTAAATCCTGTGCTTCATGCGTTTCTGAGCGAAAAGAAAATAACATGCCAAAAAGCAATACATTGCAAGATGTATTGTTGACAATATTATATGTATCTGGAAACAAGTGATTACAGCTTTGTAACCAAACTATTACTGTCATCCCAGACATATAAGATAATATTTGCTGCAGATTTCACGTCCCTTGTGAATGAATTTTCCTTTATTCTTAAGACCACAGTGAATAAGCTCCTTTTCCTGCATTACGATCCATCTGCCACCTTGTTGCTGGCTCACTTAATATCTCTTTGCAGGTTCTTTGTGTCCTTCTCATTACTTGTATTACCATCTAACTTTGTATTTTAAGAAAACTTGGATACATTCCTCTCTGTCTGTTTATTTAAGTTATTGATGTCGAGTATAAATAACCAAGACCCCAGCATTGAGTCTTGTGCCTCCACTAGTGAGAACCAATTTAAAAATATCCCATTTACCTCTACCACTTCTTCTACCTTGCCTTTTTATATGCTTAAAAAGGCTGCAAATTCCTTACAGTGGTCTGTTGGCAAGAAAAAGACAACCATAGGAGCTGGATTAATTTAGCAATGTTTTTCCTGAATTTAGAATTGTAGAGTTCCTAAATTGTGAAAGAGGCCATTCAGGGCATTCAGTCTGCACATACCCTTCAAAATTCATCCCACCCAGATTCCCACCCCACATTTACCATGGCTAATTCACCTAGCCTATACGCTCCTGGACACTACAGGGAAATTTACGCTGCACATCTTTGGACTCTGGGAAGAAACTGGAGTACCCAGTTGAAACCCCAACAGACACTGGGAGAATGTGCAAACTCCACACAGGCAGTTGCCCAAGCCTGGAATCAAACCCGAATCCTTGGCACTGAGCCGCTGTAGCGCCTGGCATGGGCAACCAGTAAAAATACTTCTGATTCCTTGTGTGAAATTTTCACTTGTAATTGAGCTGCTACATCTGCAACATTATAGAGTCACACAGTTGGTCCAACTAGTCCATGCCGACCATGTTCCCAAACTAAACTAGTCCCAGTTGCCTCCATTTGGCCCATATCCCTCTAAACCTTTCCTATTCATGTACCTATCCAAATGTCTTTAAATTTTGTAACTGTACTTGCATCTGCCACTTCCTCTGGCAGTTCATTCCACATACAAAACACCCTCTAAATCTTTCTCCTCTCAAAAGTATGCCCCCTAGTTTTGAAATCTACTGCCCTAGGGAAAAGACCTTTGCTATTCATCTTATCTGTGCCCGTCATGATTTTATGAACCTCTATAAGGTCACCCCTCAACCTCCTACACTCCCTTGAAAAAAGTCTCAGGCTATCCTTATAACTCCAATGCTCCAGTCCCAGCAGCATCCTGGTAAATCTTCGTTGAACCCTCTCCAATTTAATAATATCCTTCATATAGCAGTGAGACCAGAACAATACACAGTACTCCAAAAGTAGCCTCGCCAATGTCCTGTACAACTTCAAAATGATGTTCCAAGTCCTATACTCAATGGTCTGAGCAAAGAAGACAAGCTTGCTAATTACCTTCTTAACCACCATGTCTACCCGTGTCACAAATTTCAAAGAACGATGTACCTGAACCCCTAGGACTGTCAGTTCAACAAAATACCCAGGGCCCCATCATTAACTGTATGTGCCCTGCCCTTTGTTCACCATAGAAGTGACCTGCACCCCAGGCACAGTCTTATTTTCTCATGAGATTGATGGGTGTTATTTACCAATTGAATAGCATGCCCCATCTAGTGGATAAGGCAGACATTACTGAGTTTAGTTGGTCATTCCTTAACTTACCTTGTGTTTGTAATGGAATTTTATACCAAGGAAGGAGAAAAGTCATGTTCTGGTTGTGGAAATCATCCACTTGAAACTATTTCAATAATTCCATAGTCAAAAGAACTTACTGTATGCTATATCTAGACATATGGTCCTGATTTAACAACAAGTGCAAAATATATAATTCCTGTAGCTGAGCTTTATTAATCTATCTCAACAGTGTAGTGCGTATCTTGGGATTCTGGAGAATTTAGAGATCATTTGAACTTGCATTTTCTAGGTTGTTCACATCTGAAGAAGCCCCATGTATTCCCAAGTTATATACACATGTATGTTTGGTACCATATGAAAGCTGTTGCTGCTGGGCTGGTTTAAAAAAAATAAAAGTTCCTTTCATGTTCCATATTTCTAGTTAGTAAAATTTGGAGTTGTGACTTGATTTATCTTTCCTTTTTCCAGATCGGTGAAGAACGAGCAACAGCTATTTCATTGATGAGGAAGTTTGTTGCCTATCAGTTTACAGATTCGGTAGGTATCCTTCTCACGGTTCTTAAACAGCAGCTTTAGATCTCTTTAAGACCATTGGTGGAGCTAGCCAACAGAAACATGCGAAAATCTAGTCGCGAGTTTTCCACTACTGCAGTCTTGAGGATTAGACTGTTTCATGTTATTCTTACCATTCTCTAAGACATATAGTGACTTATGATATGAAAATGATGAATTGTTGTGCTCCAAGACTTGTAATTGTCATGCCATCCTCATACCCTGTACAAGTCATTTCAAAGAAGAAGATGACTAGTTTGTGCCATCCCTCTCTGAAAAGCACTCTGAAGGCACTGGATGCTGCAAGAGCTATGGGCCGTGACAACAACCTGTATTGGAATAAAAACTAACTAATTATAGCTCTTGCCAAGCTGTTTCCACATTGTGGTAAATTGCCCAAGTATGTCTTGTCCACCAAAAGCAGAGTCGGAAGTCACATGACTTCAGGTTATAGTCCAACAGGTTTAATTGAAGTCACAAGCTTTCGGAGTATTGCTCCTTTGTTAGATGAAGTGATTTTGAATAAGCCTGTTAAACTATAACCTGGTGTTGTGTGATTTCTTGCTTTGTCTATCCCAGTCCAACGCTGGCACCTCCGCCTCATCACCAAAAGCAGGACCAATTCAGATTGGTCAATTATTGTCCTGTTGGTCTAGTCTCAATCATCAACAAAGTCATGGAAGCGGTCAGCAATAGTGCTATTAAGTAGCACTTAAAGGCAATATCTTACCCCTGATATTTGTTTTGGGTTCCACTTGGCTCATAACCTCATTACAGCTAAACTCAGTGAGGTGAGAGTGATTGCCTTTCATATCAAGGCAGAATTTGACTGTGGCATCAGGGAAGTCCTTGCAAAACTGAAAATAGTGGGAACACAGGAAAATCCTCCACAGGGATTTGTTGGAGCCCAATCACTTTTTTGTCCTGGGATATTACAGCAAATATTTCTCAGGACATTTGCTGATGATTGCACAATTTGCAATTCCTCAGATACAGAAGCAATCCATATCTGTATACGGAAAGACTTGGACAACATTTAGGCTTGGGCTAATAAGTAGCATGCAGCATTTGTGCCATGCAAATGCCTGAGCAGTGACACCTCAAATGAGAGAAAATCTAACCATCTCCCCACGACACCCAATAGTAATACCATTGCTAGATTCTCCGGTATCAACGTCCCAGGTGTTACCATTGACTAAAAACTGAATTAGACCAGTTATATAAATATTTTAGCTACAATAGCAGGTCAGAGGCTGGGAATTCTATAATGAGTAACTCACCACCTGTTTCCCCAAAGACTGCCCCGCCATCTACAAGGCAAGAATCAGGAGTGAGTTAGATAACTCTCCACTTGCCTGGATGACTGCAGCTCCAGCAACACTCAAAGCTCAACATTACCTAGGACAAAGTTTGATTGGCACCTCCTCCATCATCTTCACATTACTCCTCCACTAATGGTGCACAGAGGCGGCAGTGTGTATAATCTATAAGATGCACTGCTGCAACTCACCAAGGAATGGTGAACAGCACCCTCCAAATCTGTACCATCTAGCAGGGCACAGGCAACAGATGCCTCAAGACATCACCACCTGCTTGTTGGAAATAGTGAGGACTGCAGATGGTGGAAGCCAGCGTCAATAAAATGTGGAGCTGGAGAAGCACAGCAGGTTAGACAGCATCGGAGGAGCAGGAAAGTCGATGTTTCGGGTCCGGACCACATAGTAGGTGCACTGATGCCACATGGACTGCAGCAGCTGACGAACGTCACCATCTTCTCAAGGGCAAATAGAGATAGGCAACAAATGCTGGCTTAGCTGGCAGACATGAGCAGTGACTAATTTTCAAAAAACATGCTAGATGTTGTGGTTGAGGGGGGATGTCTTCCTGTCCTGTTAAACCCACCTTCCACGCCCTAGTCACCGCTTGATTTTAATCATCGGTGTAGTTAAAATGATTGAACTCAGACTTTCAAGTTATTGTTTCAGTCCCATCGGTACACGTATTCCCATTAAAAAAATTTTTTTCCTGATTTCTCTTAAAGGCAGTGACTTATGGTAGAGCACATTTCATGAGTGCCAACAGCCTTTTTCTGGTTCCCAAATCACAGCTGTAAGCCTGAAGGTTGTAGCTTCACATTCCTGCTCCAGAGGCTAGTACAAAATCTGGGCTGACACTCCTGTATGGTGCTGAGGGACAGCTGCAGTGCAAGAGGTCCACCCTTCTGATGAGAGGTTAAATTGAAACCTCATTTGTCCTCTCAGGTGGCTGGAAGAGGCATTAAGTAATGAACTAATGAGGAGTTCTCCTTGGATTCCTGGTCATTCATTGTCCCTCAGCCATACTTAAAACACATGATTTGATCATTTGGCGCAGTGATGTTTGTGGGAGTTTTCAGTGCGTAAGTTTTTCACCTGTGCTTCTTATGCTGCAACAGTGACTATAAATGGGAAAAGGTGCTTCATTGGTTGTGAAGTGTTTTGGGAAGGGAGAGAGAGCCACCTGAGATCATGAAAAGTGTTATCAGAAATCTGAGTTTGTTTTGTTCTCAGTAGGCTTTTTGATAATCAAAATCACATCCAGTTCCATGGTGACCACTGTTAGGCACAAACTGTCCAGCAGAACAGAGCATGATAGCTCTGGCCATTCACTTCCTAGTCCAGTCATACTGAGACATTGGCAGAACTGCTGCCCCAGCTGAGATCAACCAAGTCAGCAAACAATAGAATTGAACAGACCACCTTGTCTTTATGGACCAATGTCTCACACAACAGGAAGGGTTTCTTTGTTAGCATTCTCCAAATTATGTCTATCCTCTTAATAAAATTTAAGGATTTAAAAAGTTTTGATTTCTTGATTTTTCCCTTCTAAAAGTGCTTGAGAAGTGTATATTGCAGGAGTGCAAGACGATGTTCAGTCATGAACTTATTATTTGACATCACTGAAATTTTCACGTTTTGTTGCCTTCAGTCATGATTGCTTAACTCTTGCTATACTGAGTAACCTGCAGTTCAGTGATAGATTGATTCTGTTACGAATTTAGTGTTCAAAATATATGTTTTAGTTTTGAATAAAGTGCGCACACAGTTTTTTCATTTTGTTTTCTTCCATTTCTTTTTGCCTGTAGCCCATCCAAATCAAGTCTGTTGTTTCCCCTGAGCACGTGAAGGGGTACATTTATGTTGAGGCATACAAACAGACTCATGTCAAGCAGGCCATCGAGGGTGTGGGGAACCTCCGGATAGGGTACTGGAACCAACAGATGGTTCCTATCAAGGAAATGACAGATGTGCTGAAGGTGGTGAAGGAGGTGACCAACCTGAAACCGAAATCCTGGGTTCGTCTGAAAAGAGGTCTGTACAAGGATGACATTGCACAGGTAAAGCCTTTCTGTCTTTGCAGTCTTCGTAATGTGATAGACAGACAGCCTAATATGGATAGTGTCCCAATGCCAGCACACTGTAGACCAGGGTTGCCCTAGATTTCAGACTTGCCTGGATTTCAGATTACCTGTTAACCCGACGTGTATATCCATAACATGTGCTGGTCTGTGTTAAAATTGCACGTTTCTAACCGAAGATTCAACCCCCCACTCCTTGAGTGAGATGGCTTATGATAAGCACAGTCTAGGACAATTGCTCAATGCAAACAATGGACGGGGTAAATTATATGAATGTTGAGCTGTGCACAGAGTGAAAAAAGTGGTTTTTTGGACAGTTTCCGTTTCCAAGCAGCTACATTTGTTGTCCTATACCTGATTGAATGTATTAGACCATCTCACGATAGTATCGCAAATCATTATATTGTGTTGCAAAAGTGGAGGAGCCCAATCTGAAACCATTACCTTCCCTTCAGGCTGCCAACGTAAATATTAGTACTTACCACGGTACCCTGTCTCACCTATTGACTTTCAAAAAATGTACTGCTTACTTTTTCAGGTGGACTATGTTGAGCCAAGCCAGAACACCATTTCTCTGAAACTGATCCCAAGAATTGATTATGAGCGAATCAAAGCTCGAATGAGTTTGGTAAGAGCCCATCTTCAGTTACAAGTTGATATTCTGTATCTGTGGTGAACTGATGCTGTATCCAATTGTGCTGACAATTGTCGTTCTTCCTTCTATCCTCCTACTTCTTTGTTTGTTCTCTGCTGAAAGCAGGCCCAACTCAGTGCTGCAACTTCCACTGGGGTGTAGGGTAAGGTGGTGGGTTGGAGCAAGATCAAACCCCTTAATGTTTACATGAATCTGATCCAAAGGTTGTCAAGCAATTGGCCTCCCCACGGAAGCCAGGTTACAATGGCAACATACACTTTTACATGTATGTTGTAACCTGGAGCTGTGGACAATACTGGTATAAACTCCAATTGCTTTCTTTTTCAGTGTCATTAGTTTTATGAAAGAAATGCCCTGTCTTGCATTATCCAAACGAAATAATTGCGAGGCAGGGAGATAGTGTTGAACAAAGATTTTCCCCCTGCCTTGAACTTCCTTAATCTAATTTGAACACTTAACCCTAAAGACCTGTTGCTTACTGCTCTCCATTTTTCATTTTGATTTAGTGCAATGATCTGTTGAGCATCTGAATATTTTTAATATTTCAATCCACAGAAAGACTGGTTTGCTAAAAGAAAAAGATTCAAGAGGCCGCTTCAGCGATTGTTTGATGCAGAAAAAATCAGGTATGATTTTATTGATAGAGTGTGTTGTAGGTATTTTTGTATCAACCTGTTCAGAGTTGTTGTTACACACTTCTGGAGCAGGTAGGACTTGAACCCAGGTCTTCTGGCTCAGAGGCAGGGATATTACCTGCCTGAAGGAAGAGGCAGTATCAAAGAATTGGAGTCAAACTCTTTTCAGAGTTAGAAAGTTAGAAAATGCTTCTTCACTCACAAGTTGCAAAACTGTGACACTGCCTTCTGCAAATAGGAATTAATGCTAAATCAGTTACTTTCAAATCTGAGATAGATTGATTGTTAGACAAAGTAATAGTACGGATCAAAAGTCACTGTATGGAGATAGGTTACAGATACTCCGCCATCTCACTGAATGGTAGGCCAAGCTCAAGAGACTAATTCACATTGCCTTGCTCCAATTTTCCTGTTGGCATGTGGTACTGGTTCCCTAACATTACAATATCATGATGATGGTTCTCTGCTTCCCGTGTCTGTAGATGTGATGTGGAGGTGCCTGTGTTGGACTGGGCTGGAAAAAGTCAGAAGTTACACGGCACTGGGTTATAGTCCAACAGGTTTATTTGAAATCACAAGCTTTCGAAGTGACTTCACCGACAAAGGAGCAGTGCTCCAAAAAGCTTGTGATTTCAAATAAACCTGCTGGACTATAACCTATTGTCGTGTGACTTCTGACTTTGTCTTTAGATATAAATCCCAATTCCTAAATGGATACTATGTGAATTAGTGAATTATAAACTTGATCAGACCAATGTTCAATTTTTTATTATTTTAAAATTGTTTCATGAGATGTGGGTGTGGGTGGTTACACCAGCATTTATTGCTGTGGACTATGTTGTGAGCAGCCTCCTTAAACTGCTGTAGTCCGTGTCTTTTAGGTACACCCATAGTGCTGTTAGGGAGCTAGTTCCAGGGTTTTGATCCAACAGTACTAAAGGAATAATAATAATGTTTCAAGTTAGGATGGTTGTCCCATGAAGGTGAAGATGCAGGTTGCGGTGTTCCATGCATCTGCTACTTGTGTATTTCTAGGTGGTAGAGGTCATGGGTTGGAAAGGTATGTTGAAGGAGTCTGGGTGATTTGCTGTAATGAATCATGTAGGTGGTCCACACTGCTGCCATAGCGGTTGTAGAGCGAGTGAATGTTGAAGATAGTGGATGGGGTACCAGTAAAGTGTGCTGCTTTGTACTGGATAGTATCAAGCTTCATAAGTGTTGTTGCAGCTGAATGCATCCAAGCAGGTGGGGGGAGTATTCTACAACACTGCTGACTTGTTCTTTGCATATGGTGGATAGACTTTTGTTATGGAGAACAGGAGGTTAAATGAAAGAAAATGCTTGATATTCACTTTATAAGTAAGAAGTAACAATTTATTTAACCCTAATGGTGAACAAGTTAACATAATTACTAACAAACGGAACAATTCCTCCTTAACTTCTTACTACTCCCAAACTGAACTAAATTCCACAGGTATGCTGTTCCAATAAGCACAAGTCCCACTTGTATGAGCCCAAGTAATAAGAAAATAAATTAAAACTTCATCTCTCAAAGTCTACACGCCTTTCTTCCACTGATCCGGCTGTCAGGGATGTTCTGTCTGTGAAGTCTTCTGTGAGGACTCTTAGCTAGAAGAGCTGTGCTACCTTTTATGTACAGATGGTATTTTCTTAGAGAACTTAGTGATTTCTTGTGAGAGTTGGATGCTTATTTCTCAGATGGTGGTTCACTCTAACATTGATTTTCAAAAACTGTCTCCTTATATACTTTGGATGACATGCTAATTTTCTTATAATAGCATTGGTCCGAGGTTGTCAAAACCATTAGACTTAAATTCAGAGATAGTAGGAACTGCAGATGCTGGAGAATCTGAGATAACAAGGTGTAGAGCTGGATGAACACAGCAGGCCAAGCAGCATCAGAGGAGCAGGAAGGCTGATGTTTCGGGCCTACTATCTCTGATACAGACTTTAAATTCAATTGGCTTTCAATTGCTAAGTGCTTGGTTTAAGTTAATTGGCTGATTCAAGCTAGTTATCAAAACAAGCTTAAGGCTTCCAAGCACACGGCCAATTGATACTCGTTTCAATTTCAGAACTGGCTATACATCTTCAATCACATACAGACACATTTTTATTCTGTATAAATCTCTAAGCTTAGAAAAGCACTTTACCTCTTAAAGGAACCCCCCACTCTCCTCCCGTACCTTTTTTATTTACAAACAAATTCTAGCTTCTAGCTTCCTGTCTCCCAATTCATTTTTACTCTGCACAACATCGTAACACTGTGTTGAGTTATTCACAACAGAATTCTCGCCATTGACCTTCTCTTATAACCACAATTTATATATATAGTCGAGTTCAGTTTCTGGTGTTGCTATATGTGTGTGTATATTAGATAAAGATATATTTGTAGACATGAACTGCTTCAATGAACTCATCCCCCCCCCGCCGCCGCCCCTTCTGAATTTATGATGGAGAGGAGGTCATTGATGAAGTAAACTACCCTGAGGAACTCCAGGCTGGGACTGAGATGATTGGCGTCTGAATCCACAGCCATTTTCCTTTGTACTAAGTATGACTCTAACCAATGGAGAATTTTCCCCTGATTCCCATTGACTTAGTTTTGGTAGGTCTCCATGATATCACACTCAATCAAGTGTTACCTCAATGTTAAGGATAGTTACTGTCCATTCACTTCCAGAATCAATACTTTTTTTCAATATTCATACCAAAGATGTAATGGAGTCAGGAGTGGAATGGGTATGGTGGAATCCAAACTGAACATCAGTGATCAGATTCTGATGGTGTTCCTGGACCCAAAGCATTAACTCTGCTTTCTCTCCACAGATGCTACCAGACCTGCCCAGTTTATCCAGCCATTTCTGTTCTCGTTTCAAATTTCCACCATCTGCAGTTGTTTGTTTTATGTCAGTGGTCAGGTTGTTGCTCTTTTAAGTGCTGCTTGACAGTGTTGATGATCCTTCTATCACTTTGTTGATCAAAAAGTAGACAGGGCAAGATTAGATGGATTTGGATTTGTCCTGTATCTTTGTCAGTATGATATACTTGGGCATTTTTTCATCTTGTCAGATAGATGTCTATGTTGTAGCTGTACTGGAATAGCTTGGCTACGATTTCTGAAGAATTTCTGAAGAAGGTTCCCGGCCCTAAACGTCAACTTTCCTGCTCCTCTGATGCTGCCTGGCCTGCTGTGTTCCTCCATAGAACATAGAACATTACAGCGCAGTACAGGCCCGTCGGCCCTCGATGTTGCGCTGACCTGTGAAACCAATCTGAAGCCCATCTAACCTACACTATTCCATTATCATCCATATGTTTATCCAATGACCATTTAAATGCCCTTAAAGTTGGCGAGTCTACGACTGTTGCAGGCAGGGCATTCCACATTCTTTGAGTAAAGAACCTACCTCTGACATCTGTCCTATATCTATCACCCCTCAATTTAAAGCTATGTCCCCTCGTGCTAGCCACCACCATCCGAGGAAAAAGGCTCCCACTGTCCACCCTATCTAATCCTCTGATCATCTTGTATGTCTCTAT